TATGATTAGATTAGTCAAATAGGTAGATACATGAACTTTCAAAAATTCCCGAATACGATTATTCGAAATAGAAATATTTGTAAGGAGAGAATAACTTTTTTAAATTTATTGGAATTTCACTATGCAATTGTTTCGGCATATTAAGCCTTTGTCAAGGGTATTTACGGGTATCTAGTTAATGATTTAGTTAGTTGCTAAACATGTATAACTAAATATTGTTGACAAAGGCCTCATAAGTGGAAACAATCCTAGAATCAAACTCTTTTAAAATAAATTGCGCCAATAAAAAGCAATGTTGTTTTGTTTCTTAAATGCTATAAATGATTTCATAATGCGCCAGCCAAAGAATCAGTTGTAATTAGACATTTGCAATTAGAGTGATACTCCACACATTACCTACTATAATTAACAAAGTTTATAAAAAGATATTCTGTGAAGATGAAGTAAATAATATATGGACAACATGGTATACGGATTTTTAACAAATTATCTTTCCATTTCTTGCATACGTTGAAGTTTTGCAAACGGTTTTCATAGAAGGATTAAAATTCAACAGACATTTTTCTAGGATTTTTTGTTAATAATACTTACTAGAGCCAAAAAGCTCTATAGTCGCCACCTTATCTGCATAAAAATATCGAAATAAAACAATAAAAATCCATTTGCCCCTATTTGAACCGTTTGCAACAATTACGTTTCTCGGGCCATATAACGGTACCGTTACAGTGAATAGGATCTAACGGAAAGGACACTTCGTTTCACATAATAAATTGTCATATGCAAATTCGAAGTCCTTGTCGTAACAGCTTTTCTTAGAAGAAAATTTCGTACAAACTTTCTCTCTACCTGCCTGCAAATACCTGAACCCCAAACGAAAACATTATGTACAGTTATAAAATGTAAATAGGTCAGGGATTTTGCAAAAGTACCGTTTGCAACGTTACAAAATGACGAGGGAGTATTGAATTGAAGGGTAAAACTGGCAAGATGTACACGTAGGTGGTGCAAATGTGTGTCGACCCCATAGATGGACCCCCAGCACCCCTTTAGTCATCCACTTGTACAAGAGCTTCACCAACAAAACAATCCACACGCCAAGGTTTTTTCCACGTAGTCAAATTAAAATATTCCTAATATAAGAAGAAGGTAAAGGATTGCAAAGGACGGTAATCGGGCCGCCTGTGTGGCAGAGTACGCGGAAAAAAATAATTTTTTATGACAACGCAAAGATTACTATTTTCCATTGAATTTGACGTAGAAATGGTATAATTTATTAGGTAATTTGTAATAATATCAATTTAGACATGTTTCTTTCAAAATTATTTCAAGTTTCTTAACTATTACAATTAAATTTGTAATATCAACTAACATACCTAGTAAATTTATTTCTGCTGGGATTTTAATTTTACAAATTCGAGTCCAAATTGTAATTTTTATTATTTTCGCTCACGAAGCAACGGGCTAGTAGGATCTAATAAAAATAAATGCAGACTTTCACTCTTATGGCACTAGAAATAAAAATAACATACATTTAGAAAGACTTAATAAAACATTAGCCCAAAACTCCATCTTTTACAATGGAGTAAAGGATTACAACTCTCTTCAAGAACACATAAAAACTTGTGACATTAAAAGTTTCAAAAGAAAAATCAAGGTTCTACTGTTACAAGAACATTGATAGTTTGTGTAGTATCCTCAAAATAAGCCAAATATTAGGAATAAGAATTTTTTGTAATATTTTTTATATGTAACACACTAGCTGTATGCTACAATAAAGGTTTATTATTCTTATTATTACTGGTGATTCTTCACTGTCCCTGTCCTGATGTGACTGATATGTTGAAATAATGTCTTCAAAAAGTATGCTTCATTATGATCTCCGCGCCCAACATACTTATATATATGAAAATTATCAGTATTATCGCCTCTACAACCTATTAAAAATTCCGGTAACATATATATCTATATTCATATTTTATATACAAACAAGCGATTTCAGTTGGATTACAGAAACGCCTTCACTACCTACGCAAAATTGTTAAAAAATGCAGGAGCTAGATGACGTACTCTATCTAAGAAGCCTAATACCTATTAGAAGCATCGGAATAAACTTCGTACAGAAAATTTTACAACTTCTTTGTTAAATAAATAATTAAGCACATACATTACTCTTGGTAACTTTTTGTATGTTGTGTCTAACAATATCATCAATAGACAGTGAAGTTACAGTCATGCTACAACTTTCAAAACAGAACTTTCTGAAAGAAAAATCTAATTTTACTCCTCTAAAATGTACGTGCCCATCACGTAACATCTACGTCCTACGCCGTGGATTCAGTTTGTCAAGTCAATATCCTTCATCAAAAAGGGCCGTGTCAAACATTAATGAACTCACAATTAGTAGTAATCCAATCACTTTATACATGAACCTCTAAAAAAATTAAATTGAATATTTTCTTTATTATATCCTCATAAATGATTTCTCGAAAGTTCATAAAGCCAGTTGTACGGCTACATGTGTTTCAAAAGGTCAAAGGTCACGAAAATCAATCTTTCTGAAATAGGTATCTCGTAAATTATCGATTATACGTCAATTTTGCTTACTATAATTTGGGAGAATAATCTGCATCGAAAGGGTTCTACGGTTCTACCGTAAGTAGATTGTAACGTAATTAACTAACTCACTCACAAATCCTAATTATAGAATTACTTCGCCATTAAGACACCTAACTTAAGTATATAACTGTGCCTTCAAAGTCCAGGATTTTGTTGCTATTTTTATTANATTAAATTAAATTATTATAAAATCTTTTTATATGTCCACAGATTAAGTTGAAAATTAAAAATCACAGGCTAAATTAAAAAATTAATATCGTAAGAACACATTAAAATACCTTTTAAAATCAGAATGAGGAATAAAATAATGAAATGTAACGGAATGAGATGAAACTGAAAAGTTTTATAGAAATTTATTGTAATTATAAATTTAATCAGCGAGGACCTACTAAAAACTAAGCAAATAGCGTTGATAATTTGCGAATAAATCCAAGAATATTGACCAGAAAACGTTTTCATTTAAATTTAAACAGTCTGGGTGCATAATTTATGCTTTTTTATAGAATTTGAAAAAAGTAATACCTAATAATATGATTTCATGAAAGTTAAGAACTTAGTTTGTTACTTAGAATCAAGCATAGTACACAATAAAAACCAGAATAAAAGTAAAAATGAGTTTATGTAGCTAAACAACAAATGTTTCGTCTTTCGGTGCATACTATAGCTAAATTAAAGTAGCTTTTGATAAAGCTTTGATATTGTCTTACCAACAATACTTAAACTCTTACTTCTCTATCCTAGTTTTGATTCCGCACTATAACCTAATAACTTAAAACATGGGAAAGAAGTGAAGATTGTACATAAGGAAACAGTAAATACAGATAAATATTATTGTTAGATGCAAGTTTAATGAAAAATTAAAAGGTGTGCTTACAAAATGATAATTAAAACTACTCGCTGACAACCTTGCTGAAAACTAACAATAGAATTGGTCTCGAATAAATATTTACAACAAAGAAATTCGTGGGAATCATTTAAAATTTAATAATGGACTTTCTTTTTCAGAAAGAATGTCAATACAAATATTATGTATTACGTTACGTAAAATTTACACTGATATTATCGATATTTAGTTGTACAATATTTTCAAAAGCTACCTTTTTGAACCTGGGACAATAAAAGCCGAAATTACTCGTAATAACATATTTAAGCTGTAATTATTGTTTGAAGGCTAAGCCTCTAATTATGATTGTAATTTTCATTTAATCGAAAATAAAATGTTTGTGAACTTTTTCCGCAACAGAAATTTACGTAACTATCGTTTAACAAAAATCATGAAAAATGATCAAAAATGTATCATTATTTTTCCCGAAATAAATATTTAATAGGTTTTTTATGATTCCGCTGTCTGGACTGGCGACACAAAAGGCGTCAAAAAACAGGGTAATTTGGAATACCGAACTATTAAAAATTGTGAGCTATTACAATAAATTTAGACAATCCAGTCAATGTATTTTTACCTTTTTTGTTAGCAATTTAGTCATTTCAAGATCAATAAATATAAAAAGCAACAAAACCCTACATAATTAAATTTAAAATGTGTAACACATATTAGTTATTAAATAGTGACATATACTCTTTATAAACAACAGCAACAAATGAAATCTGATGTAATTGTTTTTATAAAAAAATTTTTTTCAAGTCTCTTGGCATTTGTAATATTTTACAACCCTGTTTCGGTGCGGTACTATCTATAAAGTTTACAGGTATAGCAATTTCTTGCAAGGGGTGGTAGTTTAGCCGTTATAACTGTAAACTGACCATAACTAGAAGAAGAAAACCGCAATATGAATATTCTGACATTTTCGGTAGCAATGTTCGGGGATGATGGTGGTGGGGGACATCCCGATTTTCAAAATTCTCATTGGTGAGTGGTCAAAGGGTTTCTAGTCCGTTCAAGAACGATAAAAGCGACTAAATAAAAATTTCGACAACAGTTCTTTTAACAATTCTTGACGGACTTTTAGAAAGTTGGTTTCGGTAGGGCTTGCGAAGTACCTTCCTTACATTATCAGTATAATTAAGTTTAGTTTAGTTTAGTTTTGTTCATTTGGTTACATTATTGGTTATCAGTTGCCGAGGTGAATTTGCGATTTTACTGCAATCACATATTTGTGTCCTTATATACAAACACGCATACGGTAAGATTTTTGTTTACTTTTCGTTGTTTACAAATATTATCTTTTCTAACGGCTTGGACATTGTTTTTAAGTATTATGATATGGTGCAGGTGATTTTTATTATTACTAATATATTTTAAAAACATTATTGCAAATTGTACAATGATGAGTCGTCTGTCTATCGTGTGGAACTCTGGCGAATTGATTGTTACGGAAAATAAATAGTTTTAATGTTAAAGAAACTTTGGAGAGGCGTATGTGGTGGTTTTTCTTTGCAAATTGTGCCGGTGCCGATCAAATAAATAAGTATTTTTAGTGTAGGACGACAGTGTTAAAAAGTAGTAAGGAGTGCTTTCTTTTTAATTATTTTAATTAAAAAAAGTCTGTATGGCAAAAGACGCCAATTTCATTTTTATCGAGTTTCAATTTTTACCTTTTTTAGGCGCCATTGATATTACAACATTAACCTACTAATCTCATATAATTTTTCTATTTTTTAACATTCAATATTTGTTGTTGTTACTTCTTCTTACTGGTCATGTTTTCAACGTTTCTTCGGCTCGCGAGGACGACAAGAGTTCTTCCTAGATTGTTGGTCAAAGAAGAACTTGATACATTTTCCATACATTAACCAATTTGTGACTCAATATTTGTTTTTGTGAATTCAATAAATTTGACCCCTAATCGAAGAAAATTTTTACAGATGGATAGTCCAAAATCTGGGGCTGCAATAACAGACCTAATGGTCTTCCGCCACGGAGGAATGGCAGAACCCCTAGACTGTTCCACGCCCGCTTTAGACCTGTGTGTCCGCAGACGCAGATCGCCTTCGCCAATTCCCGAAGGAGCGGTCACAGTCAAGACGGAAAACCATCATTATGCCGAAGCACCTTCTTCTACCGTTAGCTACGGAAGTCCCAATTCACGGGCCAGTTCCGACGTTTCGGACCTCTCCATCTCTTCCGATCCACTCCGGGATCTCCCACATTATCCAGTGATGACGCACCTGCCGATTATAAGCCCTTTGCCTTCTACACCACTGAATAACAGTAACGGTCACAGCAAACCCAAAATCACTCGACCTTTTAAAGCCTATCCGAAAGATCCGTTAACATTGGCAGTCGGCGTCGCGACAACGGAAACGATCCTTGGGAAGGACTCGGCAGAGGCGTATGCAGAGTTCAGGCAAAAAATGCTCGCCCAAGTCCAGGCGACTCACAACACGACAAACAAAAACATGAGGCGAAATTCTCATTCCATCAATATCCACAACAGCGATCCGACGTATTTGGAAAAGCGAAAGAAAAATAACGAAGCAGCCAAAAGGTCACGCGACGCACGAAGGGCCAAAGAGGACGAGATCGCGATTAGGGCGGCGTTCTTGGAGCAGGAAAATATCAAATTAAAATACGAAGTGGCAACACTCAGGAGTGAAATGGAAAGATTACGAAGTCTTGTATACAATTGAATGATGAAAAACTATTTTTGACCCTTGTGATCGAATCTTGTCATTAGTTCCTAGTACAATGTTTCACTTTTATATTGTAACATTGTGTGTGTCTGTTTGTGTGTGTGAGAATAAGGTACTTCAATAGGTACTGTGGTTTGAAGACTGGTTTTTAAATTATTATTATTATTTTACTTTTACCAATTAGAACAAGCTTTGTACATAAATAAACATATTTTAGGGTAAGAATTGTATTTTTCGAGACTATTAAAATATTTTCTTATTTTTTTATAAAGATAAACTGCGAGATCTATTAATTAAAAATGTTAATAGAATATTTTTATCAAAATATGATATAAGAAACGAAATTTGCTAATTTTTGGGTATATTTGAAAACTAGGTGATACCTGATCAAAAATGATTGCAAATTTAATATATTAAAAATTAAAAAAAAAATTAAAAATTTGCACGTTGTACAATGAAAGTGATTTTCCAAATTTGAGCAATAATCGTCTACATTCGTGACTAAAATGGGGCATAAAATATTGTACACACAATGCTGACAAACCATGGCAATACTCAATTACGGTTATTTTATGGTAAGTTATTATAAATGCATAATGACTAATATCGTATTTTGCAATATTGCATTATTTATCATTTCCCTGATTTAACTGCTATTGTAAAGTTAGTTTCTAATTAAAAAACAAATTATTGATAATGCGATATCTACACGACTACATTTTAATTACTGAATAGTTATTACTTCATTTTCATAATTAATTGAATAGAAATGAGAAAAAAACATTTTAAAAGTTCACCACTGCATTGGATCTTCGGATAAGTTTGAGCTTTTTTAATTTCCGTTATTTTGCGTTGTTAAAATTTTGCTATCGATAAAAGAACACAATCTACTACAAACATGTTAAATTAACATATAATCATTATTTATGATTTGCAAAAACTATTAATTAATAGATCGAAAATAAAATGAAATAACTAATTTGTGTTTATCTAAATATCCATTGATTTTAATTACCGGGTAAAATTTGAATAACAATGTACGTGCCATCTAGTTTACAAACACCGCTATGAACATAGGAAAAAAAATAATGTATTCTGTTTCCCCACTAGAAATTTAGATAACAGAAAAGTTGCCATGAAGGTTGCTACATTTGTTTTGGTTTAACCATTCTGTTGATAGATGGTGCATACATTCACATTTGACGACCATAATATGAATAGGGGAAAACCCAAAATATTATATGTATATTTGTGATGCTATAAACCTGAGTATACATTATTTTACGAAATACGAATCGGACACCAAATAAAATAGTTAAAATTAAAAATGTTTGCGACTATCAAGAGGATAATCTATGAAAGGCGTCTTTACTATTTTTTATTATATATAAATACACTCGCGACTTTCAGTTTGAAAATTTAATTTTCTTTAGTTACTGTACCATCTATTTTATAAAACTTCTTTTTCCCTCTTCGGAGAAAATACGTACCTAACTGCGGAGTTGTAATTACTTACAATTAGTATCTAAAATATATCCGGAAATGAAACCACGATGCCATAAAACGTCAATCGTGATTAAAATCTGTGAGATCGTAAACGGGTAGTTATTGAAAGTACCCATCCATGGGGTAACCCCTCCCTGTTAAATTATTATCGCCCCTTTGGCGCGTCATCTGATTCTATTATCGTCATGTGTAGTCATACGGGTCACGCGTCTAAACAACCCTAATGACATGGTTATAAGTGCCCCCTGTAATGCGGGTAGGTTGTACGTAAATTCACATTGGCATCAGTCATTCCATTATACCGCCCTTATAATAGCTGATTTTGCATACGTGCTTTTTTAATGCCATTTAAAGCTTACTTGATAAACATTTGAAAATAATAGTTACACTCATTGCCGCGCTATTCGACCTGAAATTTTGGGAGCGCCTCAATTCCGAGCCCGTTTAAAGGTAAAAACTATATTCCCACACCATATCTTTCAACCATCAGAGTGATCAGATCAAAAAAGAATAACAAATATAATATATACCTGCTACAGAATTGTCTAAACGATATTTTAATTCAATTTTATAAGTATCGGCTATCTCATCTTCTATAAAGAAGCAATTAACAGCTGGAATTTACTGTATCAAATATAAAATAATATGTACATTGGTCAGACCTGTAGAGCTATGGATATTAGATTCAAAGAACATTTACTCATAGCAGAATATAAAAATCTAGTGCAGCTTCCCACGCATGTGACAATAATCAAGAAACAGACGCTAAATGTTTAAGTTTAAGCGTTTATAATCATTTCCTTCTAGATGCTTACTAAAGTAATGAAATATGTAACAATAAAGACAATCAAATTAACTAATATAGCTGTCTTATTTCAAACTCAAAAAGTTATTAATAAGACAAACTATGCAGGTTTTACGCGTTAGTTTTTGTCTATTTATAAGGACGCCACACTCTAATGCAAAGCAGGAGGATAAGGCGGAAGGCCCTCTCAACCTCGTTTCGGGAGGGATGGGAATGATTAAGTATTTTAGGTTAGAATTTCCTAAAATGTAATGGAGTTTTATTTCTCGAACAAAATAATAAATATTTAAACAATCCCAGTAAAAGTTTAACCAAGTGTTCCTAAAAAAATAAGTGCATATCCCGGTGGAACACAAATAAGTGATCAATTATCATGAGCCACCACTAACAACAATTAATTTGAAACTTTTTAATAAGGCTGTAAATAGGAGGGTGGAATTCAGATCATCCGAATTCTTAATTTAAAGTGGAGGAGCTTGATCAAGCGTGATAGTTGTTATTACAAGAATTTAACTACACGGTAGGGTATGCCACAATTCTCATACATATACATACATATACACACATGCTTAAGTGTTTAATAATAGTGGAGCATATTGTTTCGCGAAACTCTATTGTTTTTTCATTTGCTTAAAATCAAGATTATTTTATGAATGTTGCATTGTTGGACATACCAGTGCTGCTCCGATTTTAAGTACCTACCTATAGTACAATTATGTACAGTAATGAACAGTGAAAATGGTCGGGAAAAATTATAACAGGGAAAATATCTTTTTAATTGGTTTAACAGAAAATAATAACCAAAAAGACTGCAAAAAGACAGAAGCGTATGGAAAAAGCTGGAAAGTTTAGGTAATTAAAAACATTAATAAACAAAAAAAAAGAGAAAAATGAGAAACTTAAATTCGCACAGAAATACAAGAAAATATGGAAACAAAGGGAGGTAAAACCAAATTATTCGAAAAACGAAAGAGCAAAGAATAAAAACGAATTAGTGACTGGGAAGAAGAAGGGAAGAAAATATGCAGACTATGGAAACTGGAACCGTAGACGCTCGAAAGTATTTTTAAGAGATTTGGAATAACACGAAATGGTACAAAAAAAATGGGAAATTCAAATGGAAAGAATGGATAGTCTAAAAAAGATGAGAGGAATATTATATAGGAGGAAATTAGCAGAAAACCGATAAGAATAAAAATATTTAGTTTGTAAAATTATGTAAATGTACTTAGTATATAGAAAACATAATGTTTTTAATAAAGCTGTCTATCTATGTTGTAACCAAAAAGTACTTATCAACTTGTTATTTATTTATTAGTATGGGATAAGTTATAAAATTTCAAACGAACCAACAAGAAATAAGTTACGATTTCCAATAAAAAAAATTGGTACAGACAGTCACCTTTGGTTGGAAAAGTAAAACGGGATGAATATTTACAATGGATCAAAATATAAAATATGTATCTATAAATAATTATTAAAAACACGGAATAACGTTGTTAAAAACCAGCACATAAATCTGAGGAAAAATAGAAATACGGTTTCTAGTTTTAATAAATTAACAACCTAAAAGGTTAAATAATATATGTGTTTGCTGTATTAGGATAAAACGCAAAACAGAAATTATTATAATTTATTCAATGTTGCAAAAACTTGCAAATTAATTTTATTGAAATTATTTATTTATTTACAGCAACTTGTTAAGCAAGGCTTCTAATAAGACTTGTAAGGCATATTATTTTTAGTCATGCATACTTATTTTCTTAAGTTTTTAAATTGCGCATTTCACTCCTACACAAGACTATTAAACAGTTTGTCCTGTACATTGACATTTTTGGCACAAACTCTAGAAGGTTCCTTTATTCTAACCAAGTTCGCAGCTTTTTCATTTAAAAAAAAACGCGACATTTCACCTTGCCAAACCAATCTCACGTGTATGTATTTTTACATTGTGTTTTTTACCAACACTCGCCGGCATATTTTTGCATCAATTTACGTCTCGACTTCTTTTATTTCCTGCATCAATTTAAAAAATTTGAAAACTAAATCCTTGAAGTGACAAATGGTACACAAACTCACTCATATACATATGTATATGTATGCGTACTAGCGAAGTCGTTTGAAAATTCGTAAGAGTTATTTTTTGCACCTCGAATAGACACTTTAATTAACTAAATCACTTAAGACAAACCAAACTGCTTTAGCATTTAATTTAACAAATCAGAAAATTTGGTATTGGTATTATTATTTCATTCATCATCATCATAAAGTCGTCAGGACTAAGACTGGTTGGACACGCACCTCCACTCTTTCCTACCCTGAGCTAATCTTCGCATTTCCCTAAAACAAGAACAACCCAAATCCTTAACTATTTGCGAACAGTAATCTAATCTAGGTCTACCTCTACCCCTCCCAACTCCCGTTTCTGCCTCTAATATGTTTCCGACTAGACCTTCATGCCTGAGAAGGTGTCCTACCAACCTATCTCGCCTATTTCTTATTGACTTCCGTATAAAGCCCTCTGATCTCCTATTCTTCCTAATATCTCTTCGTTCCTAACCTTGTCTATCCTCATTATTCGCCTGTAACACCACATTTCGAACGCTTCTAACCTTTTCTTTTCCGCCGCGACCACTGTCCATGTTTCGCACCCGTTCAGCGTCGCGCTCCAAACATACACCTTTAAAAATCTTTTCCGAATTTCTAAATTAACCGTTCGCGAGCAAAGAAGTGACTTCTTTTTATTAAAGGCGACGCGACCCTGCGCTATCCTCTGCTTTATATCCCTACTACTCCTTCCATCCTGACTTATCTGACTTCCTAGGTATC